TCCCCAGAAAAGGAGAGGCAGAAATTAGGAGATGGTGAGTTCTAGTCCCGCCTTAGGCCTGAAAGCCGACTGGGGTGAATTTGGGCTGATTGCCAGGAGAAAGGGAATTCTAGTCCTGCCTTAGGTCTGAAAGCCGACAGGGTTTCAGAAAGTATGTTTCTTGGTATTGTCTAGTAATTGTTGGAAGAAAACTGGAATAGGATGCCTTGGTGCTCTCTGAGGTTGGTTGTTTTCTTGCAGACGTTTCATGACCCAACTAGGTAACATCATCAGTGTTAGAAGGGTGGGGGATTTGCAGAGAGGAAGAGGAGGAGGAGGGGAAAGGGAGAGGAGGAGGATGTGGGGTCCTTGGTGCTCTCTGAGTTTGGTTATTTTTCTGCAGATGTTTCATGACCCAGCTAGGTAACATCAGTATTAGAAGGGATGGGGATTTGTGAGGAGGAGGAGGAGGAGGAGGAAGAGGAGGAGGAGGAAGAGAAAGGGAGAGGAGGAGGAGGAGGAGAGGAAGAGGAGAAGAGGAGGAGAAGAGGAGGAGGAGAAGAGGAGGAGGAGAAGAAGAAGAAGAAGAAGAAGAAGAAGAAGAAGAAGAAGAAGAAGAAGAAGAAGAAGAAGAAGAAGAAGAGAATGAGGGGGAGGAGGAGGAGAAGAGGAGGAGGAGAAGAAGAAGAAGAAGAAGAAGAAGAAGAGGAGGAGGAGGAGGAGGAGGAGGAGGAGGAGGAGGAGAAAAGGAGGAGAGGAGGAGGAGGACTGTGGAGTCCTTGGTGCTCTCTGAGCTTGGTTGTTTTTCTGCAGACATTTTATGACCCAACTAGGTAACATCATCAGTGTTAGAAGGGGGTGAGGTTTGCTCTCTGTTTATATACAAGTCTGGAAGAACTGGAACGAATTTGCCACTGATCCCCGGTTTTTTTGCGATTGAGTGTTAGAAAGGCAACGGATGATCCAGTCTCTCGTCTAGACAGGGCCACGAGCAGCTGAATTTCCTAAGGAACGCGGCCTCTCTGAAACGTGCGTTTCTTCTTTGTTTTCTTTTTTTAAGATTTGTACTTTTCTGCCCTTGAAACCACCTCTCTCTCAAGGGAGTTTTGCTTGCTTTTCCCTTTAAAACCCAACTGCAGCAAAATACAAAAAAGCTCTTTTTTTACGGAGCTGTTTTTTTTTTTTAAAGCAGTGATATGCTTATAAAATTGTAGGAGGAATCACACCCTTCCTCTCTCTTTCGTCCCTCCGTTCCTTGGTCAAGATCAACAAGCATTTTTTGTTTTTGTTTTGGGGACGGCTGCTGTTTATGCTGGCTGACCATGGCACGGGATTAGAAACATGAAAAGAAATACTTTGGGGCCATCCTAGGAGGCTACACAGATCGCAAAAGGCAGAGCTGTGTTTTAAAGGAAGAGAGAAGCTGCAGCTTGCAATGGTTTTGATTGCCCTGAGTGCTTTATTTGCTAAAGAATTTGCATATTAGTGACGCTCGGGTGCTTGTCCAAATGTCACATAAAAACATTAAGACGGTCCAGCTGGATCAGGTCAATGCTGCTCCCAATTTAACAACTGGAATCTTCAGGTAGATTATTCCTGTTCCATTTTGAGCTATCTGGATTAAGAACGAATAGATTTGAAGGTTGAGGCCTTTGAACTCTGGTGCTGGAGAAGACTCCTGCGAGTCCCCTGGACTGCAAGGCGATCAAACCGGTCCGTCCTAGAGGAGATCAACCCTGACTGCTCTTTAGAAGGCCAGATCCTGAAGCTGAAACTCAAGTACTTTGGCCACCTAATGAGAAGGAAGGACTCACTGGAGAAGGGCCTGATGCTGGGAAAGATGGAGGGCAAGAGAAGAAGGGGACGACAGAGAATGAGGTGGCTGGATGGAGTCACTGAAGCAGGAGGCGTGAGCTTCAATGGACTCCAGAAGATGGTAGAGGACAGGAAGGCCTGGAGGAACGTTGTCCATGGGGTCGTGATGGGTCGGACACGACTTCGCAACTAACAATAGCAAGATTGAAGGTTGGAGTTGAAGGATAAATGGACAAGCATGACATGGTCCAAAGATAGCATTCCTACAAACATGGTTTATGACCTAGCTGGATACAATAGGTCTTCTGAGAAGGCTTTCTGTTGCTTTTTTCAAGTGGATCCCTTCCAGATGTTTAGACCTACAATACCTGCCAGGTCTGGCTTATAGGGACAGGGAGGGCTATTAGGGGACATTGTCATCCAGGTTGAATGGAGGTGATCCAGGTTGGGGAAGGGTACTTAGAAAGCCCTATGGATTAGATGTCTATGGAGATTCTCTGTCATCCAGTTCCTGGTTGTCCCAAAGGTGCTTTTTTTCAGGAGGCAACTGGACTTTCTTGTTTTTCTTTGAAGACGTTTCACTTCTCATCGAAGAAGCTTCTTCAGCCCTGACTAGATGGTGGGGAAATGGAAGGATTTATAAGACCAGCTGTCTGCAAGGAATATAAATCCTTCCATTCCCTACCATCCGGTCAGAGGTGAAGAAGCTTCTTGGATGAGAAGCAAAACGTCTTCAAAGAAAAAAAAAAGAAAGTCCAGGGGCCTCCTGAAAAAGCACCTTTGGGATTACTATGGGTTAGATCGATGATAAAGGGGTGGGAGGGAAAAGGTCAGGAAAGGGATCCACCTCACTCATGAAGGTCATCTGCCTTTCTTCTGGGAGAAGATGACTTCAGGCCAACAGAGCCATTTTGACAGGTGGTTCATTCTCGGATCAAACTAGTCCCATCTCTACTGACATTGAATCAGATTTAAGATGATGAGGCCACGTTCTGATCTCAGGACAGTGGAGAACACGTTGGATTCAAAGAGCGTCATGGTGGCCCTTTCAAAACTAGACCATCCGGCAAAATATTTGGCTCCAGCCTTTCTGTGCTCCCAAAGAGAAAGTTGTTCCAGAGACTTACTGGGAGATTTTGCAGTTTGTGGTGGCCACAAAGCGCCCGGTGTAGTGAACGTTGCATCTTACCACGTTGTTGGTGAAGTCCGATTCCATCACGATGTATTTGGGATTTACCTGAACCTGAAAGGTGGAGAGAAGGTGAAAAAGCAAATCAAGTTCTTTGATACAGAAGTGGGAAGAAGGTAGAAGTTCCTCGACCAACCCACCCATCCCCCAACCCATCAACCCACCAACAAACCAACCAGCGTACCTTTAGGATATAATTCCCAGGTTGAACGTCTGTGATATCAATCCACTGGCAATCTATGTCAGCATTGTAAGTGTCGTAACAACCTGGACTCAGACCCTGAAAGAAAACAAAAACATGGCTTGAACCTTTAAGTGGACAATTTAAAATTTAAGTGGACAAATCTTGATGACATTTGAAAGATTATAGTTGTTGGACTGGGAAAAGATGCCTGATGGGAAAATAGGTATGACACAGAGAGAATTGGATCATCATCATCATCTTCTTCTTCTTCTTCTTCTTCTTCTTCTTCTTCTTCTTCTTCTTCTTCTTCTTCTTCTTCTTCTTCTTCTTCTTCTTCTTCTTCTTCTTCTTCTTCTTCTTCTTCTTCTTCTTCTTCTTCTTCTTCTTCTTCTTCTTCTTCTTCTCTTCTTCTCCTTCTCCTTCTCCT